CCTTCACTGCTGTGAATATCTTAGTGATGAGTAAAGAAAGAGGCTTGGAAGATCATTTACTGGAATCCGCTATGTATCTTTGTTTGTAAGGATTTTTATGGAGTTTTATAATTCAGTATAGGTATTGTAATTTAAATTCATTTTGATTGTTGGGAATATTAAAAATATTTAAAACTGACATATGGTTTTGAAGTATTTCCTCCTTAGAAAGGGAGCTATGGGTAGAAGTTGGATTACCACTTGCAGAATTAGATCCTAGTTCCCCTAAAATAGAATTCAAATAATGAGACTTACAAGAAAGACAATGTTGTTACCTACTTTGTCAGCTGGGACCAGTAAATGAGATTTGTTGATACTCTTGTATGATCAACTTCTTTGTCAGTAGATATAGAACCCATATGCATGCGATAACCGTATATTGTGTAAATAAAGAGAGATGCTACGGCCAGACAGAATAATGCTAAAAGATCTATTATTATAGCAATGGTCACATTTGTCTCTTGTATTCTTATGCATGCCTATTCAGGATTATTTTCTTATACTTTTTAATGATTATTTTTAACTTTTTCAGCAAATTTTCTATCATTGGCATCTATTAATAAAGTTCAATCTAAATGCAAGAAAGAATTGCAAGATGCTTACATTTACAAATATTGATGAGAACTTCATTTTACTTCTTTATCTGCTTATTAAAAGAGAACGATACTTTGTGCTAAATATTTGTGTACTTTCTATTAACAGGGTATAACCCCCCCCCCCCCCCGGTTCTATCACTTAAGAACAGACGAGAAACATGAATATAAAGTTATATTCTTAATGACATTCAATGAAGTATTTAATTTTAAGAAAAAACTTTTGGAAAAATTCGAGCATTTTTGAATAAAACTCATAAATGACATGGATTTTGCTTTTTATAAAAACTAAATGATTCTTCTGAATAATAGATTATTTCAGATGAATTCTCTGTAAGTTTCTTTTTATTCTCTTCGTCAACAAGGCTTGTCATTTTTACATAACGTGGACGTTTAGATTATTTGTCCCTGCATTAAGCTACACTAAGGGAAAAGTATCTTTTTAAATTTTGTTTAGGTCCACTGCCAAGGGAACAGGAATGCAAAGCAACGAAATAATCAATTGATCAGTTTGAATTTCTGTATGACCTGTCAAGAAAATCTATGATTATAGATGCAAAATAAGATATATGTATATAGAGAATGTCTCCTTAAACAGTGATTTATAGTTTTTTTAATAAGGTTTTTTGAAAACTTAAAAAAAATGTTTGGATATTTTTCTAGAGTTTTGATATATCATAGGGAGCATATATCATAAATATCAAAATTCAACAAGTTTAATTTGTTTCAATTTGTTTATGGTTAGAGTGTATTTGGGTCCAAATTTATGCGGGAAATGTTGATGTGACTTCACACAAAAATAGCAGTTCCTCACAATACCAGAAAATGATATCATTTGCTATTTTAAACTATATAAGAGTAATGAACTTCATCAAAACATACCATGATTACCATCGCGTTCAATTTTGTCACTAGTTAAATCCCACACAAAGTATACACTTCTCACTGATCGCAATGCACTTGTCGACATGACGTCATCATGATAAATTTAAATCATTTTATGTGCAGTCATTTTATCACAGAGAAAAATGCATTTCATTTTTTAAACATAATATTATTTACAGATGTTAAATCATTAAAATCCTGTCGCCATTATTCAATCGTTGTCGGAAGAATTATTACATGTAATTATGTAGGAACAATTTATCACTTAAAGTTTTAATTTTAACTTGGATAGTCATGCTCTTGCAAGGTGACCGTCAAAAAAGGTGATCAAAATATATTCAATACAGATTAGGGTATACTATCTTATTTCAATTATTATTAAAGTCATGTGATAATATAAAACTTTTACAGAAATAAATTCAGATTTAAAAGGTATCTAAATGTGCACGTCTATATTCCGTCGATTTTTTTTTTTCATAGTACGCCTTAACAGGGGCTTGGTTCAGTGCAGGCCTACTACAAAATTTGCATATAGAATCCAATTTTTTGTTCCAGTTGAAGTTATTACCATTTTCAATTCAGATTATTTTACCCCGTTCTGCCTTTAAATGATAATGTACTTAATCTAAAGGTATCTAACTTAAATTCCATGCCAAGTGCAGGTTTTGTACTTACAACAATAACAAATAATTTGTATCTTTTTTTTTACTTTGTGTTATGTAAAAGGTGAAGATAACAACGTTCGATTTCAAAAAATCTATAAACAATACAAATATTTTAAGATGGCATAAAACACGGACCCCTTGAAATTCCGGAGATGGGATCAGGTGCCTAGGTCGGAGGAGTAAGCATCCCCTAGTGAATGTACGTAAAATTTTCTATTTTAAGTATCTATTCTAAAATGGCAGGGGAATAAGACATTGGGGTTGGGGATTGGTTTAGTGTATTTTCAGACTAGTAAATAATTTTTCACATGAATTATGTACATGAGAGGCCCATGGAGCACATTCTTATCTGAGAATTTTATGCCAAACTTGATACCTATATAAATGTACATGTTCTGATATACTTAAATTATAGATTATTGTTGCATCTTCCTTAGTTTCTCATATTTTATTCAGGAGGCATGTTTTTTCTTGTTGTTGTTTTATTTTTTGGTGGTTAAAAGGTGTGAAAGAGATTTAGTGGCTGGACAAATCCGACTGTAATATTTTTTCATTATTTTCTCTTTTAAGATAAAGTTTTATATTGACGTTGAGTCTGTGTATTTTTGTAAGAGAGCCAGGTTTGACATGATATGAATATGGCATATGAAGTTTTTCGGCATAATTTTAAATCTCTAACATAAAAGCCTTGAATTCATTGTTGGTATATTAAAATGTTTCATTGTAGAAGAGAGCAGGGAACCATTTAAATCTAAGCAGAGAACGATAGTTGAGGTTTAAGTATGTAATCAATACGGCAATTTTACATACATTTGAAAGTAATATTTAGCAAATGTAAAACATGTGTTACTTCTAATGGGGAAAAAATATGATTCAGAAAAAAGCAAGACTCTGTTATAAATCTCCCTCTCTAACCGAGACTTAATAAGAACTAACACGCTACTTTATCAACTGAGGTTCCTTAAATGCAAGCAGTGTGCACGTGTGTTGTATCACTACACACACTAAGCTGCGGAAATTTCATACTTCTTATATAACACTAATTAATCATAAATGCGACATTGCTGTCCTGACAGTAGATACAAATATAGAGTAAACAATAACTATATCATAGAAATATATATATTTTTTTACTTTATGAGAGTTATTCAAGATAAAGGAGGTAAAAAAAAACTTGAACGTTAAAACAATATGTAATAAAGGCATGTTGCTCATACATGTAATACGTTGTTTTATAAAAAGAAAAATTAACAATAGCAATCGTTAAAGCTGATCACAATCTGATTCAGTTTCTGTGTCTGATCATCATCTGAGTCTGTTTTAATGCTTCATATTTGTTTTTCCAGCGATACCATACTGGGTGTCTATAATCCGACACAGCAGACTGGGCGTACTCTCCGTTAAGGTTTGAGTGGGCACAGTTGCTGTACCACCAGGCTCCGTGCCAATGTGTAGCACAGTTACTACCACTCCTGTCATTGTCCTGATCCTTTGTGCTGAATTTATTTCCATTTTGATAATCAGCCATACTGTCACCTTAAACAGTTATATGTTAAGTTACATATAAATGTGTAATTTCTGCATTATTCTTGTATGATTTAATTTGAAAACCAGACGTATCATTTTTCAAGATTTAAAATTAACGTGCTAAGCTTGATAATCCTAAATTGTGATTGTGTGTCATCATATAAAAAAACCCATCCCCTTTAGTCTACTTTTAATTAACGATAATTCAAATAATTTAAACTATCAATTAGAATAGGGAATCAATAAAATTTATATTGGGATTAAATGTTGATAAAAGTTTTTTTTTTTTTAAACTTACACATTAACTTTGTGTAAAATGTCTTTGATATTCTTCACTTAAAGTTTTTGAACAATTTAAATGACATGAATACCTGTTAACACTAAAAAACCGAAAATGCTTAAACATGCATTATTGTGTCAAATAATATTTGAATAACAACCATCTCCTTGAAACAAGCCTTACATGTACATGTACTTTCTTAACATTGATAAAAACTCCAAAAAGAATGAATGCATGTAAACTTTAGTTAAATGTTCAAAACTGCAGATACCACTCTATATGCATTACATGCTATAAAATGGTTACTGCAAGGTGTGGATAAAGAACTGGTTGAAATTCTGTTACATTAATAGAACATATGTTTATTTGTTGTATGTTGATTTGTTTGTTAAACGTCCCTTCGAGAATTTTTCACTCATATTGAGACGCCACCACTTGTCATAGGAGGGCTGCCAATTTAGACATGAAGTCGGCGCTTAGGGTTTTTGAGCAGTGAGGGATCGTTTTCGTGTCTGCACTTGCTCCGACAGAGGACCTAGTTTTATACGGTCTTATCAGAAGGACCGGTCTCCGCGTCCCGCAATGGGATTCCAACCTGCAACGTAAGGATCAACTTCTTACTACGCGACTCTAAAACAAACGCTCTAATCACTGGGCCACGCGGGCGACTGTTCATTTGTTGTTAAAATAAATGTTGTATTCAATGGGAGCCAGCAATTTTCTGGGACAGTCTTATACAACGTATTATTTGTCCGAAAAGTCTTTTTAAGAAGAGGCTAATGCCTTTCAATATGGTTCTGAATCATATTTATCCAATGACTTTTCCTCTGAAGTAATCCTTGTTTTTTCGTAGTGATACTTCTTAATTAACGTTATTGATACTGTTTGACATCAATATTATACAGATCACATACAAGACGCCGCACTGCCAAAGGTAAATAACATACCCTCTGTAAGACAGCTGTTTTACAATGGTTTCTAAATCAAGGTAATAACAATAAAAAAAATTACCTGCACTTCCTGTGTATCCGGATACTATGAGTTTATATTTATCAGCCTCGTTTCCGATATAAAACTTGGAATATTCAGCATACGCTGTGTCCCCATTATATCTCTGGAGATCTACTCGCAGTTCCTGGTCCTGATCTTTGGTTAAAGCATGGATTGCGTCATTCCCTTATAACAATTGTAAAGAAATCATTGAAACTAATGTTTATGACTATTGATTAGAATGTGCTTTTATCCTGTAATATGGATTAGTTTATAAAAAACTAGAAATATGTCCATAGGACATGAATGCCCCACAGAGAATATATTAGTAATGCAACATGAAAATTTGTATTAGTGTATGAAATTTGATGAGAATTACTTGAAAGTTTCTTTAAAATTGAGATTGAAATCTAAAAAGTTTGATATAGATGATAAATTCTCACCAAATTATGTATAAATGCATAAGGTTACACTACGGTCAACGCGGATCCCGTATTTTCCCGCGCCCCGCGATGGTGTTTTAATCCTTTCCGCGATACACCGTCGCGGTTTTGTCATCGCTGCAATCGCGGGGACACGAGATTACCGTGACGGTGTGCTCTACCGTATTTTACTCAATGTGAAGTCGATAATCCTTAATTTCAAAGTAAGGATATTTAATTGTGAATATATAATATCGATTTTTTAAAATTTGGCTTAAACATGTTAAAGTCATATTTGGCGTACTTTTGATAAGTTCAGGCTCACCAAAATTAAAGAGATCTTTCTTTTTGTTTTAGTACCTTATATAAAGATAGGACTTTCCTGTAAATTACACAATTTAAATCAATCGCGTTTCATAGATATTAGAAATTTAAAACAATAACCGATTTATTTACCGACTCCGCATTTCAATATCAGACATAGTTTAAACTCAATTTAACGATAGAAATGTGGGGTTATTCGAGTTCAAAATCGGCGAAAATTTTAATTTGAACGTAAAGAACAAATATCATGTTCATCCACACTCAATCTCGTATTTTTATTTTTTAGCTCAGATACGCCATATATAGCTTTAAATTTCTAGAAATCATTTATAAAATCTTTTTTTCAGTCTAAAGGGTGATATTTGAATGATACTTTTATTCTATCAAAATATTATCATTGTTGTAGTATCTAATAAGTAAACTGAATTATTTTGAGGAGATCTATAACTCAACATAATTTTTTTTATTGTAGTAAATATCGATTCTATTTATATTACGCCCTTTTTTCATCATAACAGATTTTTCATACAGAATTACTGCAATTGTTGTTGTTTTTTTTTTCGAATTGAAAATTGCAATGTGTATATCACTGAAAAAAAAATGAAAACACATAATTTCACGCCAAAATATCTCTTCCAACATATTCAAATATTATTTACAATAATCCCGAATATTTGAATTAATGATATTGATCACCACCTAATTTGTTAGAATTATGGGCCTGAATGAAAAAAAAGCTCTGGTCATCATGTTCATATATTCTAAAAGAAGTCGACAATAGTCATTTTTGTAAAGCTAAAAGAATTAAATGGTTGCGTTCTCAGTTGATAATTAAGCAGAGAAGTCATGAACTAAATAAGTTGAAACTGACCAAACACGTTTACATGTATTACACAATCACAGCGTGTGCAGTGGGGCGTAGCTAATCCTATCAGTCGCCCAATATGTGACTATGGATTCTCGAAAAATTCACGAGATGATAAAGCCCTTTTACGATAACCGTGTTTTCAAGCTGTAAAAACTGCATGTATGACATGACAATATTTCAGTAGCCGGTCTTGACACCTTGATCACCCTTCCTACATATAGGTTATATCAACTGATCAAAAGCAATCCTGAAATTACAAAAATATCGTTATACTCGTATAAAGAATTAAAAAAAAAAAAACAATAAAAGTCTTCTTTTTTATTGGTCGGCGATTTTGAAAAACTTGGGACTGTCATTCATTACAAGAGGTACATATATACATATTTACAATAATTATGGACGAGCAGAGATTACAGGAGGACAGACAGTGTCAAAAATTTTGATGATAAATATACACAATTTTCTTAAGAATGCTGGGTCAGTATTTGTCATTAAATTACAGAATTTTATAATATTTGGATGTACATAGTATTTCTTTAACAGAAAATCTTTTCGAATATTACAAAATACATTACATTCCAATAAGTAATGAAATTCGTCTCCAATTTGATTATTATTACATAAATAGCACACTCTTTCATTTCTTTCAACATTATTCCATCTACCCACCTCTATGGGAAGACGATGGTTACTTGTTCTGAATTTTGAAAAGATATTTCTAAATTTTCTTGGTATAATAGTTAAGTATTTTTCACATTCAAACTTTGTTTTAAAAATTCTATATGTAATACCTTTACTGGAATTATTCATATCACTATACCATTTTTGTAAAAATTGGTCTTTAAGCTTTTGGTTTATTGCAGTCGCAATCCATTTAACACTATGAAAATTTTGATCATTCCAAACATTACATAGTCCTGCAGTGTTAAGAATATTCTGTATGCAAGATATCCATGGATTATTGATTCCATTTTTGGTATATTTATTATAAAGGTGTAAATAAATAATACAAATCTTATTCTCATTTCCATGTAACAGTTTCCCCCAGAAAGATATCATTCTTGTATAAATGCGTACGTACATCGGGTAACGTCCAGTCTCCCCGTATACCATAAAACTCGGTGTACTAGATTTTAGGTTTAAAATATATTTCAAAAATCTTAAATGTAAACGTTCAATAATATCAATATTTTCAAATCCCCATATTTCGCACCCATATAACAAAACAGGAACAACAACTTTATCAAATAGATCTAGCTGACAATCAAAAGGTAGATTATATAAACGAATTTTTCTTATAATTCCGTACATTGCCTTTTGTGCTTGATTACATAAGTGTTTCTTAGCCTTTGAAAATGACCCTGTCAGAGTAATTATTGAAACCAAAGAGAAAGGTTTCACGAAAATGAAACTTTTAAATCGTTTAAGAGAGTGGGTATTAAATTACACACTAATTTTGGATAGTGAAACATGAGGATTAGTTTGCAGGCAACAAAGTGGGGGGGGGGGGGTTAAGAATAAAAAACTAAAATAAACGGCGAGGCACATTTCAGGAAACTTGTCTGTATGTATTCATTTAATCAACACACTTCATGAATGCCCAAAATGTGCATAGCATATCTTTAGAAAATAATCAATAAATATGAACAGTCTGATTACCCCCCCCCCCCCACTCCTATCGTCGTCGATATGTGAATATGAGATACTTATTAAATCTATTTTTCTATATCATATTAATGCATAACTCATGTTGTTTGTTCAAGGCTTTGAAAGTCTGGAGGAATTCTGAATGAATTTTTCTAATAGTTGCTGAGAATTTAATGTTGTATATTGAATCAATGGAAAATTTTGTATCAAATAATTTGCTACTTATAGAATGGACAAATTATTTTATAGATTCCGATGCATTTCAAGTTTTATAAAGCAGACTCCTATTCAATATGAATGCAAAATTTTTCATGTCCAGGTATACAATACAGGTAAATCACAGATTTAAGAAATCTAATCTATTGTTGTGCAGACGTATGTGTATATCTATTATATAACGGCTTATTCCCCGAACGGCTACTCGCCAAAAACAACAAGTAATTATCACAGTCAATTAAGGGGCCCTCTAAGGGGTACAGGTAAACTTACCTGTATGAATAATCTGCCAGAATTTAAGTTACTTTAAATAAAATAATATAAAATAAAATGGATTTGTAATTAAGTTTTTTTTTTTTTTAAATTTTAGCAGAAGTTTAATATATATATATATATATATATATATATATATATATATATATATATATATATATATATATATATATATATATATATATATATATATTGTGTACATATTTTTTAAATAAATAATTTTACAAGCACAAAACATAGTAAAATTAAGAATTAAACAGATTTTTTACTTTAAATTGTCCTGAAGTTTTGTTGTTTAACAGCACTGTTTAACACATTTCATATTTCATTATAAATAAAAAAAGCACTCTTTCACACCACACATATTTACAATTTATTTAGTCACAACTAAGAGATCACTATCCTAGGTGTAGTTCAGATGCAGAGTCATATATATACTGTTTTGAAGCTTGTGTTGTTCTTGTAGTTACAGCTTGGACTGCATCATTGGGCAAGTTCAGCACATCATTTTCTTTGACACTAAATATTATAGTTTTTCTTATTTAAAATTTCAAAGTGAACTGATCTCAATTATCATTGCTTATCAATTAGCTTATTAACTTGGGTCTTCATTAAAAATCAAAGTGATTGTTTTTATCACATCAAATCTATTGATTATTAAAAAGTGTTGCATAAACTTCTGTATTTTATGATGAGTTTTTAAAAAAGGTTTCATTCAAAATGATAAATAAATGAGTTAGATAAGTCAGAAATTTATAGATAATTTGTGTATGTGTGTGTTAATTTTATGAACAAATAATTTATGATTTTTTTAAAAATAATTATTAATAATTATATGTAAATTTTCCATCAATACTATTTAATAATTTGGAAAAAATAATATTAAAGGTACAATAAAAATTTTTATTTTAAGTACAATCATACAAAGGATCTTAATTTTATGTATTTATTTTTTTTTCTTTTACACATTAGAGTTCTGAAAATAAAAAAAAAAATCTCTAAATTAAAATGAAATTGAATGAATTTATCTGATTTATCCTGATTTTATCTATTTTTTTTCTTTTATATAGTAGAATTATGAAAATTAAAAAAAAAATCTTTGAATTGAATGGATTTATCTGATTTATCAAATATTGCTAATCCAGGTAAACACAGGTAAGTCTATCTGTACCCCTTAGAGGGCCCCTTAATTGAGTGTGATAATTACTTGTTGTTTTTGGCGAGTAGCCGTTCGGGGAACACACCTACATAACACTTCCTGTCTGTGTCAGTGCCAAGGTTCTGACTGTGCGTACTACTAACTCGAATCTAGCCCGGGGACACATAGAACCTTTGTTCCAATTGTAGTTTATCAAACTGGTGTAAATTAAATTTCAAAATCGAATGTTGCATGTTTGCACATGCTGTAACATCCTCTTAGCTATTAGTAACGTTTT